TGCGGGATCGGGCAGTGTTTCGTTCTGCTGTGCATGGGGTCGCTATGAGTCGGAAACGACTCGACGGCACTTAACAACAACAACAACACACATATATAATATAATATATTCATGTATATATAAATATTTAATTTTCATTTAAAATGTATAAGGTAGCTTATTGGGAGCTCTGGGAGCATAATGCCTAAAGCACTTGACTGCTAACCAGAAAGCTGGTCAAACCCACCAGCCACTCCTCGGAAGGAAGGTTGGGCAATCTACTTCCGTAGTGCTACTGCCTGGGCAACCCAAGGAGGGGTCGCTATGAGTCGGGTCTGACTCGATGGCACATAACAACAACAACAACAAGGTAGCTTATTACACCATTATTTTAGTGTGAAAACTGCTATACAGAAATGCTAACAACCCAGCTAAAGCCAAGCAACTACAAAAGAGAGAAATATACACTGTGAATGTCAGTATTTAACTTTCCCTGTTATTGTTAGTGGCCATGGAGTTGGTTCCAACTCATAGTGACCCTACATACAACAGGATGAAACACTGCCTGGTCCTGCACCATCCTCATAATCGGTTAGCAGCCGAATGCTTAACTACTGCTCCACCAGGGCTCCTTGAGGTAAAAATTACAGCCTAGAAAACCCAATGGGCCGTTCTATTGACATGAGGTCATTACGAGTTGAAAATAACCTGACAGCACCCAACAACAACAACAATGTCACAGGTTCAATCATAGATGTTGTGCCTACATTATTATAAATCAAAAAAACATAGATTCAATCTTCATAGGCTTGTAATCAATTATCATTATGTTATGATCTTTTTGATCATGTTTTTATTATGATGTCTAATTTAAATGTTAATAACGATACAGATCTTGATATGCAGATGACACAACTTTGCTTGCTGAAAGTGAAGAGGATTTGAAGTGCATACCAATAAAAATCAAAGACTTTTCAAATTGTTACAGCCTTCAGTATGGATTACACTTTAACAGACAATAAAAATCCTTACAACTGGACCAATAAAACATACCTTGATAAATGAAGAAAAGGTTGAAATTGTCTAGGATTTCATTTTACTTGGATCCAAAATCAACACTTATGGAAGCAGTAGTCAAGAAATCAAATTATATTTTTCTCTAGAAAAATCTCCTACAAGAGTCCTGTTTAAAGAGTTAAAAAGCAAACATGTCACTTTGAGTACTTAGATGCAACTGACCTAAGCCATGGTATTTTCATTCACCTCATTTCATGCAAAAGCTGAACAATGAATAAGGAAGATCAAAGAATAGTTGATGCATTTGAATCATGGTGTTGGGAAGAATATTGAATGTACCATGTACTTCCAGACAAATGAACAAATCTGTCCTGGAAGAAGTACAGCCAGAATGCTGTTTGGCTATAAAGATGGTGAGACTTTGCCTCACATATTTTGTACATGTTTTCAGAAGAACCAGTCCCTAGAGAAGGAGACCTTGGTTGGTGAAATCGAGAGCCACTGAAAAAGAGGAAGATCCTCAACGAGATGGATTGACACAGTGGCTGCAACAATGGGCTCAAACATAGTAAGTATTGTGAGGATGGGGCAGGACTGGGCAGTGTTTCATTCTATTGTATATAGGGTCCCTATGAGTCAGTGCCAACTCCACAGCACCTGAGGACAACAATCTTTTATAGATACAGCTAATTTATTACTAAGAGGGCCTTATTGCATACATTAAGTTTAGATTCCAACTGAATATGTTGAAAAATGCTCAAAGATGCAAGTTTATAATAAAATAATATGGTATTAATTGTAAATTATGTTAGATTTTTTTTTTCTAAAACAACTTTGAAATTATTTCAATACATTATAATTTAATTTCACCTGCAAGAAAAAATGACTAATATTATATTGTGATATGAACAAGGATAATGGAATAGTAATATCAACATGCAATATCACCTTTTATAGAGCTCAACTTCATATTATATGTTGCCTATGTGCATCTTCAAACCCCACATGCAATAAATTTGTTTTCTCACTGCAACTCTTAAGCTTTAAGATCCATCTTCTTCTCTCCATATGACTATCGATTACTCTGGGTAGGTGTTGCTATCTAGAATGGATAAAACACATGTAATTCTTTCTAGAAATTAACCAAGAAAAATTATATCTAATTTTGAGGAGCAAGTGGAGGGCAGGTAAACAGTAAGAGTAATCTGACCATTGGTCTCATGATCAAGAGCTATTCCCTAGCTATTTTTGTTTTCCCTTGTCATGGACTTGACTTATACCTGACTTCCATCACTATGCAACTAATGATTCCTATTTGGTTAGGAAAATAACAAATATTCCTCATCAACATGATAAATTACACTGATTATAATCTGAGAAAGAAATAAACATTTGCTAAGAAAACCCAACCTCACAGGATATTTCTATCTTCAAGCTGAGTGGATGAAACCAAATCTGTATGATTGGAAATATCATAAGCAATTCCTATACATTCAAAGTTTCTCTTTACTCTGTATTACAACCTAAAAAAATAAAATCCTGTCCCTAGTGCTCTTTTGTATGTTCTTTAATACCTGAGTTTCCAGATAGCAAAATAGTGAGCTGGATACAATATGGTCCAGTGTCCAGAGCCTTGTTAAAAAAAAAAAAAATCACAATCCTAGGATAAATACTCATGCACAATCATCAAACTCTAATATCTTTGATCTCTGTACTACGGACCTGGACATTTAAAGAGAAATGTTTGTTATATATCCCACAAGACATTGCAGAGCATTAGAGACACAGCAACTGGTGTGGGAATGAAGCTAACCTCTATGGAAAAGAGTGAGAGGCTTCCAATTTACTGTCCAGATGATGATACAGAAATTACCAAATGACGGATCTCCTATGTGTATTTACCTCTGTGTGTGTGAGAGAGAGAGAGCATGTATATACTGCGAAAGATTAGAATAAATGTATAAAAATGAGCTATTTTAAATGAAGGCTAATGATTTTAATATTTATTGCAGATTTTCTTTCTGTGTAAGGCCCTGTGGGAAACAAGTTGACTTAAGTAGAGGATGTTGCAACCTTCTCAAACCCATTCATTTCTTCTTTTATGTGTATATGTTTTACATGTCTCTGCTTAAATAACATAATTGAGTACTTCGTTCTTTCCAAGAAAGTTTAGGAGTAACATAAAAAGCATCAGATAACATGGTCCCCAATTTTTAAGGAGTGTAATTTCAAGTGAGGTAGATGATGACTGATGTTGTTTGATTCATTTTTATAATTTCTGTTTCCTTGTTGAGAATCCCTATTTAATAAGTCATGGACATCATGTTTAAATTTTATTGTTTAAACATTACTTCCTTTAATAATTGTGACCTATTTATAAATAGCTGCTTTAGATCTTTTGTCAGATAAATGTATTATTTAGGCTAAGAGTTACTTTCTATTGACTGATTTTTTTTCCCTTACATATAAGATATCTTTTAGGAGTATAGACATATCTTTAAATTTTGTTGAAAAATATTTTGTAGGAATTTTTTCTGAAGACCTTTACT